CCGGGTCCGGGCCTGCCACTTGAATCTCTGCCCTGGACCTTTACTTCTAGTGGGACTCCTGCCATGTGCTCTGACCTCCTCACTTGGACTTTCAGTGATGGCTTGTTGAGAGTTTGGCGTGGAGTCAAGGGTCGCCTGCGAGGTAGATGGCATCCCAGCCAGGACAGGGGACTGGCAGGGAAGGAGGGTTCTGCTGGCTCCTGGTCCCACCCTGGGAGAGAAAGCAGCTGCCCCAGGGTCTAAGCTGGGAAGATGGAAGACAGCTGCAGAGATGCCTAGAGAAAGGGGCTCTTTTGGAGGAAAGCTGGTTCCTCCCCGTGCTCATATTTCAGATGTTAATCCTCCACTGCAAATCCTTTGTGGCTAACAGAATTGCTGGGGCTTTAGGAGAGGCTGCTGGTGGCTCTTGGCAGCTTATCTCTGGGGGCACGGCTGAATGACTTCCCTTCTGCATCCACAGCAACCTCGGTGGCAACACCATCAATGAGGTAGCCCTGGACTTCTGGCGAGCCGGCCGGGCGCGAGAGGAGATCTCCATGGAAGTCCTGGAGCAGCGGCTGCGGCTGGAGCTGCAGGAGCCTGCAGGTAAGAGCCCAGTGCACTTGTGGGATGCTGTGGTGCCCCAAACCTGCCCCTCCATGCCAGCCTGAGGACTTGCTTACACCAAACCATCCACCTTGTGCCACACAGTTGTGTGTGCTCTGGAACAAACCTTTATTCCAACCCTGGCCCTGGGGTTATTTTGGAACATCAGCTGCTGCTTTTGCCCACAGCAGCACAGCACTGCTGTGAGGCACATGAGGAGGGGGCAGCTGTGAGTAGTCCTTGCCCCCTTCAGCCCTGAAAATAGCCAGGTTGTGAGAAGCACCCTTACACCATCAGGAGGTATCAAGGCTTCTCTGGGAAATCAGGCTTCTCTAGGCCCGAGATGGGCAAGCTGTGGTGATGTTCTGTGTTCAGACCAAGTGCTGGCCTGCTCTTCACAGGTGGGTGTCTCTTTCGCACCACATCTGGCTGGATGAGCCAGGACAGCCCCCTCAGAGACACAAGCCTTGCCTTTCAGAGGGATGACAGCTCTCTGACAAAGCTTCTGAAGTTTGTTTTGTCTTTGTGATTTGCTACAGAGAGCAGTTATGCCCGCAGCCACCTCCTTGAAGAGAACCTTATTGATTTTTTCGTGCCATTCCTGCCCCTGGAGTACCACCACGTGAAGCTCTGCATACAGGATGCTTTCCTGGCCCGTGGACTTCCGTATACTGAGGCAGCCCTTGATGAGGTGGCTGGGATGATGGTGTTTGTCCCCAAAGAAGAGAAGCTTTACTCTGCACAGGGCTGCAAATCTGTATCGCAGCGCATCAATTACTTCCTTCCCTGAACACCTGGTGGGACTAGACCAGCAGTGAAGGTGGTTCTGCGCTCTAGGACCTGCTTTCCTTGCACAAGGTGGGGCAAGCGGCTTACCCAGGGACAGACTGAACCCCCTGGTGCCCCACGGGCTGCTTGCGGGGAAGGAGGCACAGCCCCGCCTCGCTCCTGGGACACGGGGACAGCCTACGCTTGGCTGCATTTGAAATCTGTCCAGTGCTTTAAGTTTTTAGCAGGTAGTAGCCTGAAGTTGTGACTTGATTGTGCTGACAAGGCACCTTGTTAGGCATGAGCGGAGATGTCCGAGTCCTTGGTTTGTGACCATGTAGTGAAGGCCTCGGACAGGCTGGTCCTGTTGAGACAGTCTGGCAGAAGCCACATCCTCATCCCTGTCCCCAGTTTTCTCAGAACCACATGGAAGTGTTTTGCTGGGGTTGAATTGTTTTTCTTTCTCTTTTGCTCTCTTGCATTCACAAGGCGTTTTCTGCTCAGGGACTTGTGTGCCAGGATCAGTGTTTCTGCAGGGAGGCCTTTGCCTTGAGAAAATGACTGAATGATCTCCTCTGGAGACATCAAATCCACAGCTTCCGAGTATCTCACTTCAGAGTATCCCTCTCTAGTTGAAGTCTTTCGTTGTATGGAAGCAGCTGAGGGGATGAGGGGAACTTCTGCTGAAATTATTTCTCTAAGTGGTTTGATGAAGAGCCCGTTTGCTTCACAGCCTTCAAGGGTGAAGGTTGGTTGAGGAGGATGGTGGCTGAAGGAACAGGCTGCAATCAAATTTGGATTTTCAGGGCTGTGTTAAGCTCGGGAGGTTTTTTTCTTTTCAGTATGTTGCATGCTGTGGGTTTTTTTGGCTGCTATCAGCATTACTACACTAAGGGGCTGTTTGCTGTCTGGGTACTTGCCAGGTGATAAGCAGGACCAGAAAATTTCAGCAGTGTTACGGGAATCGCTTTGTGACCTCTAGGTCAAAACTCCCTTCCAACACAGCTGGGCTGGGGCAGTGAGGTGAGACAGCACATGCCAAGGACGGGGCTTAGCTCCCCAGCACCCCACGCACAGACCTTTGGTCTATTTTAAGCTTTGAACTTTGCTGTCGTGCCAGTGATGAGCAACACAACCTCTGGGAAAAGATTGACCAGGCACACTTACCAGTCCTGCAGACTTGGAGTTTGCATTTCCCTCTGGGCACGCTGGCTCTGTTATCTACAGAGGCTTCATAGTCCAAGGCAGGAGGACAAGCCAGCTGCTTTCCCGCGGCTCAACTGATGTGAAGTTAATTTAAACTTACCGCTTGTTTCTTGTCAGGCAGTTCTGAGACTTGGGGTATGGTTAATCTCTTAATTGCAAGTGTTGAGCCTAAAGCTTCAGCCCAGGAAACATCAAAGCGAGATGTGTCTGGGGAAGGGAGGGCACAGCCCCACAGTTGTGCTTTATAACCTGGGCAGAAGGTTGTTAGTTAGTTGAAGGTTAATCGCTTAGAAGGTTGTACAAGCCAGGAAAACCTATGATTTTTATTTTTATTTTTTTTAAATAGAAAAGAATCCTCAGCTGCCCAGGTTAGACTGACATGGCTCAGAGTGGGAGGGATTGCTCTGGCAGCCGTTTCACCAGTGCTTCACCTTTCACCAATGCTTCACCGTGCCAAGCTGCTATGAAGCTGCCGTTAACCAGTTCTTACCCTGTTACTCATTAAGGAGGTGGTGGTGGTGTTACTAACGAGGGCAACTGTCCAACTAACGATGCAAGACCCCGCACTCTGCCAGGTCACAGGCCTATGTTTTGGAATTAAGCGAGCGTTTGATTATGCAACCCCCAATGGCAAGAACTGCTCCCCTCTGACCACTCTATGGCAACATTAAGTTTGATTTTTACAGGCATAAATAAAAAGATACTGCTTTTCTTTGCAATCTGGCAGTATTAAATTGTCTTATTAATAGATTTATAATCATCTTGCCCTTTCTACCAAACAAACACAAAAACCTTCAGGTTAGTACTGAGCAGCTTCAAATATACCATAAGAAAAAAAAAGCAATGTATACTTGTGGTTTTTGCCAATAAAATATTGCAACCTTTATTTAAAACAAAATGCAAATTGGCAAAACTCTGTGGAACGACAGGCAAAGAGGCCCTTCAAAAGGGCCTTATTTACATCAAGTTTAACACTGTTCGCAGTTCACAGTCAGACAATAGTGAGAGAATTAAATTAGAAAAACAACCAAAATATATTACAATAACAATTAAAAACAAAAACAGTTGACAACACTGCTAGAGTGATTGGTGATTAATGTGTTTTGTTTCATCCATTCCTGCCCTCAAAGAGTTCACTACCGAGACAAACAGCGTGCCGAGCCCGTCGGGTTTTACCTCCCACGCACAACAGACACATTTGGAAGAACGACCTCCTTTGGTACAGACATTTCTCATCGTGTAGGTATTGCAAAGAAGTCAGGTGCCCCATAACCTCTGATTTCCTACCACCAGGGAATAGGCCGAAGGCTTTGCTCTACACTATGGGCAGTGCGACCTGTTCTGGGTGGTGCTGCTCAGGAGAAATGTCCTTTGTGAACACACAGCCCACCTTTCCCACAGTGTTCTGCATCAGCAATGCTGCTCCATTCCGCTTTCCCAGTGGCTAAATTTGATGCAGTCCCAAGACCCTCTTAATTTGGCTTCATCCCTGTCTGCACTAATGAAAAAACATGATTAGATCGGGGTGCTGCCAGTCAGACAGCCAAGCACGCCGCTTCTGGGGTTAAAACGGGGTGTACACCAGTGCAGGAAGAAAAAAAAGAGAATTGCACCTGTGGCTGATTCCCCACAGGAGGGAGGGAAGAGAAAGTGCCCCAGGTCAGCTCGCTCAGTGTGAGTGCATGCTCTGTGCTTGGCGAGGCGGGGTGCCTCTGCCACAAAGACAACGACTACAAATGCCTGTACTAGTGCAAGTGAGGGAGCCCAACCACAAGCGCACCGTCACCCTGTGCAGCCTCCTGACCGTGGTGCGGGAAGGAAACGCAACAGGAGGTTACACCTTGTACCCGAACCGGTGCTCTCCACAGAGCTTCACCATCCTGACATTGCTTTGGACGCCCTGCGCAAGGCTGAAAACAATAGAAGCTGCTACAGTAGAGACCTTTAAGGCTGAATGGAAAGCCAAAGCTTGTGAAAGGGAGATGGAAGGGCAGTAGTTTTAGGCAAGTAGCTGCGGAAGGGGAAACAACTGAATGGTGAGTTATAGGACAAGCAGCAGCTTTCCCACATACCATCTTTTGCTATGCCACCAGAGGGCAGGGAGGAATTCCAGTTTGGGAATACAATGCTGCTTGGCAGCCGGAATTCTTGCAACCACCGATTTAGCAGGAAAAAAGCCTAGCAAGTCAGTGCTACCTCTGCCACCAGCTGCCTACCTGATGTAAGACAATAAGTAAGAGCAAAGAACACGCTCCCTGTGGGAGCAATGAATGGTCAAATCCCAAAATGCCACTGCTTGCTGTTTTCCCACCGCAGGAGGGATCAGACCCGAATGGGCTTGTGTGGCCCACAGAGGTTGTGGAGTCCCCATCCTTAGAGATACTCAGCCCTGTCTGGTTTTGGGGAGAGGTTTAGTAGTTAGACATTCCAGGAATTGTTTTCTATCAACTGTTGCTGGAGCTTTTCTGGAAGACTGGCATTCAGAGGAAGGAAGGAAAGGAAAAAAAAAAAGGAGGGGGCTTCTTTCAAAATACTCATTGAAACTGGACTTAACAGCCTTAAAATTTTCCCCTGAGAATCACTTCAGTTTCAGTCCATTTGATCTAGGCTGAGCAGCACTACAGTGACGGAACACACGATTGTCTGCTGGGGCAAACATGCCCCTGCCCTTCTGCCCTGAAGAACACTCTTCACCTTTGAAATCCTTCGGATTGTCTGAATGGCCACGTGAAGCCGCCTTCCCTTCACAGGTCACCTTTCCAAAGGCAGTTCGCTTGGCGCGCAGTGCCGCACGCCTTTGATAAAAATGACTGAAAGAGATAAGGTTAAACCCATGAAAGCCCTCAGTAAAGTCTAGGAGATAACAGTTCAGCGCTCAGCCTTGTGGCTGAGTGATGCTGTGAAGGAGCTGCTACGCAAGCTGAAGATCCTTCTGGCCAGCAGAGTTTGTTGGGTCGGCTTGGTACTGCTCCATCAGGGAGAGGAACCCAAGTTGTACTTTCATTTGTCTCTACTTAGGTACCAGCTCACTGGGGGAAAAACCAACTGGTAGGAATAATTAACTCACGTTAACACCCATTGGTTAGCGTGGAGGGTGGTGAAGCTCTCTACCTCAGGTACCACTCCACAGGGGATCCATTCATGCATCGTGACACAGCTTTGTTTACTACAGAGGGGTAATAAAATGAGGATTCTCAGGCACCAGCCCATTTCTAAAGATTTTTTTTCAGGACCCTTTCTTGCTATGCTCTGTGGGAAAAAAAAAAACAAAGGGGCACACTCAGGGAGACAGCCCAGACGGCTTCCAGATGCTGACAGGGCAACGCTTCTAGCCCCAAATGGAAATGTCCTGCTTCTAAATTCACACCTGTGTCCCAGCTCAACTCTAAATGCTCAAACTAAAAGCAGTAGAGTCACACTTTAAAAACAAAATATAAAAGATTCAAGGTGCAGCAAGCGAGATCCTCTACCATCACCAACAGTGTGAAGTGAGCAGCAGCGTGCAGGGTAACGTGTGTTTGGAGCTGGGTATCAGGCCTGGTTTTTCACTCAGTTAGTTAAGCTCTTCCTACTCACCAGCACGTAACACCTCAGGCAGTTGTGTGTATACGCAGAAAACTGGCTTTTTGAGGCCACAACAGTCTACAAACAGCATTGGGACCAAGGAAGACAACATCAACCATGTGGCAGCTTTCATTTTGGGATTGTCATTAGGCATCAGCCAGCAGAGATCATAACCCAGCCAGAGATCCCTGTGGCAGAGCTGTAATGGTGGTTGTCATGTGTTCCCTACCCCACAGCATGAGATTCTGGGCT